TAGCCAACGGCTGATACAGGACTATAATGGAATAATAATAATAAGTAGCTTCCTAACTACTCTTTATTAGACCTAGGGAGAGGATCCTTCCTGCTGTTACTTGTAACAGTTAGAGTATAGCCTACTATTCTTTTCTAAAAACTAATAATCTAATAAGCTTTATACTAAATAGATAATCTAATTCAAGCTATAAGTATAATATTAAGATAGGTAAGTAATAGTATAAATATCTAGACATAGTAGTACTAATAGATAGAGCTAGGAATAGGTAGGCGCGGTTACTATTTCACTAGGTTTAATATATCTTAGAACCTTTTTTCTATAGAAGTGTCTTAGAAGGCTAGACCTAACTAATATACTATAGTGTAGTATTACGTGACTAGCTCGCGATATATATTATAAATCTCTTTCGTATATAGATAGGTATCTTCTCTAATTAATCCTTTATAGCGATTAGCTTTTAGCTTATTCTATCTACTTAATTACGGGCCGCCCCTCTAATCTTATAAGCTCGATCACGTATCGTGCCACAATATATAGACCTAACCTAACTACTACTTAGCGCTAAGGATTTCTACTACTACCTCTACCTGAGGTCCATGCGACCTAACCTAACCTAGACCTTACCTCTAGATACACTCTATCTATTTACTAGCCTAATTACAGAGTAGAAATTAGTTAAAGATCTCGGCAACATAGCGACGACTATCAAGGGCCTTGAACCATTCTGTGAAACTTGTAAGACAGTTATCACTAGAGCTCTTACGTGCTATCTTGATAAACACATCCTTCACTGCTTCAGACATCTTACTGCCGCCACAAACAAAGACAACGGCTCCCTGGTCCCATAAAGTCCTAAATTCTTCCTTTTCAGCCCATATTCTGTCTTGGACATAGGTGCATCCACAGGCATCTATTTCTTTTGGCGTTTTACTGTAGGCGCGCCGTACACGTACGATGCCTGAGCTTTCAAACTCGTCCAACTCAGTCCTGTAGAGGTCATCATCCTTGCTGCGGCATCCAAAAAACAGCAGAGCTGGTGCCAAGACTATGCCTGTCTTATGTTGCAAGGCGCGCTGTTGCAAAAAGGCACGGAAAGGGGCCAGGCCTGACCCAGATGCAATCAGGATGATAGGGTAAGCTCCAGGGTCCTGGGGTAGGCGGAATGCAGGGTTCGAACGTCGCACTGAGACGCGTACAACAGCCCCTGGCGAAAGATTGTATAGATGATTAGATGCGACCCCAAGGAAAGAGCCATGTCCACTCCATGATGGTGCATTCACAACTGACCACGTGAGGGTAGTATGAGAGGGCTTCCAATCTGGGGCTGATGATATAGAGTATATTCGGGGACGGAGTGGCGGCAGCATCTCCAGAAACATCTCTACAGACAAAGGAATGGACTCATAGTCTTCCAGCAAATCAAGGACGGAGTATTGTTTACGACCCAATTGACTGGAATCATTACTTGCTAGTCTCAGCAATGAATCTTTCGTCGACTCGTCGATCGCAGCAGCAGCTAGTCTTTTAATGCTCTAAATACGATTAGTTAGCGCTTCACAGTAACATTGTTACCGGAGCCAGAACTTACTCTTGATGAAGCAGGTGACGAAAGCTCGACATATGCACCGAATAGGTCCGCTACAGATATTGGAGTTGCTGTAGGAAGCTGAGTAGGTCCCGCGGACTCGATGATAAGTACACTGTCCCAAGCCAAATTGAGACGAGCCAGAGCCCGCTGTACATTAGACGCGGGATTCAAAGGCAGAACAGCCAAGTAGTCACCAGTTGTGTAAGACATGCCTTGTGGCAGTCGTAATTCAATGTGGCATTTTCGGGTCAAGGATGCGGGGCTGCTTAGTTCGAGAAGTTTTGTAACAGTAGCTTCTTTGAACTCTTTGCGTTGAGTATAGGGTTGTTGGAAGGAAACCTTAAGCTGAGATTCCAATGATATGGGAGATTCTGACGGCGTTAGGGAAAGACCTACTGCAGGCCATAACGTCTCCTCCTCCCAGTTCACGAACACCGAAAAAGGGTCACTGATGGCGACGTTGACAGCTCCACGGGGCGCGATTCTCTTTGCTCCTCGCTGCTCTAGAACTTCGTCAATGAAATTGGGGATCTTATATAACGTTGCCGGCCAATCTTGATGTCCTAATTATGTTAGTACTGCTTTCTTTTCTTGCTTGACCAAACATACCGCATCCAAAAACAGCATAAGATACCCCTTCTAGGGGCTTTCCAGTAAGGGAGTTGAGCCAGTCCACAAATTCAGTTGCGTTGTCTGTAGGCCGGCCATCGTATGTTGCAGTGATGATAACAACCAGCTCATTCGAGGTAAAGTCTTCCTTGGCAGAATCTAGTGCACGTATCGGTTGCACTAGGAATCCAGCCTTTGCGCAATCATTTGCAAACACATTTGATAAAGCCTCACAGGTCCCGCTGTTTGATCCATAGAATATAGACACGGACTTGTACTTTCCTTGACCGACGGTTGGAGTTTTCATGATTGACTTTCTGCCTTCTTGCGGTGTGTGAGCTTGCTTTGTTGAGAGCTCAGACCCATCGAGGAAGGTGAGAGGTGCTCTGGACTGTTTCAGTGCTGTATACATCTTGAATCCGTCAGGCTTGATAGTCAAGGATTCCTTGATGCGAAGCTCATAAGACGGATCATGTAGCGTGAAAGTGAAATTTTGCAGCAAAGCCGCTATGACCTGAGTAGAGTTAATAGTGCAACAGCATGACGATAGGATATACAACACTGACCAGTAATGCTTCCTGCCAAGCAAAAGCTCGTCCAATACATCCTCGCTTGCCGTTTCCAAACGGCTTCCACGAGTTTGGAGGCAACTTTTTGAATTCTTCATCCAGCATTCTCTCTGGCTTCCACTCATCTGCATCAGGTCCATAAACTGCTTTATCGACATGTACACACGGCAGGAGGACGTTGAGAGGCTCCCCCTTTTTGACAGCAAATCTGCCGCCTATTACTTCATCTTTCAGTGCACAGACTGAAAACGCTGGTGCAGTTGGCATAAGCCTGATTGTTTCTCGAAGAATAGCGTTCGTATACTTCAATTGAGATAAATGATCAACTGTCAGTTTTTTCGTCCCGACGACCTCATCAACCTCTTGCTCAGCTTTTGCCAATGATGAGGGGTTCTTGAGCATGTAATAGAATGCAAAGGAGAGTAGGCCCGATGTCGTCTCGTGGCCAGCGATCAGGAATGTGATCATGTTGTCTACAATGGAAGAGCCGTCCAATTTCTCTCCCGTCTTGGGGTCCGCTTGGTTCAAAAGAGTGTCCAAAAGATCATTTGAGTTCGTTGGATTCTGTCGTCGCTCGTCTAATAACCCTCGACAGAGATCTCTCATTGCTTTTATATCGTATTTGGTCCTTTTTTTCGCGGCCAGGTGTAGGCTGTTGAATATTTTAGGCAGCCCAGATGCCTTGTCAGCGTCGTGCAAGAAACGGTTCATGCTGTCGATGAAGGGATGCATTGTGTCTCGATAGAAACTGTTGAATCGATGACTAAAGCCGCAAAGAGCAATCGTGTCTAGTGTCAGACGGGTGAAGTCATCGGTCACTTCGATAGGATAATTTGGACCATACCGGCTCCTTTCCCCATTGTCAGTAATGGAATCAATTAACCAAATTATCTCTTACCATTTGAGACAGAGTTGTTGTGCCACGTCAGTCATCTGGTCAAACATACTCTTAATCTTGGTTGGCCCAAAAACTGGCATGAGGATTCTGTGCGCGATGTCCCAGTTTCTCTCCCCTTCATATGCTGTGAAAAGGCCATCATGTACTCCCTGTCTTAACATTTCAACTCCACTAGTGACGATCTTGCAGAATCGGCTTTCATCACATACTTCATTCACAAGCTGTGCTTCACAAATGAATATCTGCTTTTGACCCCCAAAGGTCATCTGGAAGATAGGTCCTAAACAAGTCTGTTCAATCACGTGTGTAATTAAGGCCTTTCAGTCCTATAGTATACTTACCATATTTTTTAGCTAACTGGACTAATGATTGCACGCCAGCTTCTGGGTCGATATCGAAAATGTTACCGACAACTGGCAGGCCTGGTGTTTCGCTCAGTACTGCTTTACAGGCGCGGGAGGATTGAACATACCACTTGGTCCAGGAATCAGCTGTAAGGGGAAATTTGATAGCATATTGCTCGATAGTTTGATCGGAGCCTGGACAACGAGGTCTTCAAATGGCAACGGCTGCCAGATGGTGTGAGTTAAGCGGAGCTGGCACTCGGATGTTTCGTAACGACCTTTTGTCGTGCTACAGTATGCAGTCGTTGTAGATGGGGTTCTGGGTTAGTTCTGGTTCAGGATGAAGATGCTGAAAGATGTTGTTGCGCAAGGGATAATAGATGAGGTATTATATAATCTAGATATGTACGGTTTGAAAATTGCGGCGGCTAGGTCTCAGCCTCACTAAGCATCGGCTGACGGACTCCGAGATACTTCCGGGGTTTCGGAAGCCTTGGCATATCCGCGGTAAGCACATTCTGCCGTAGATAATTTCAAATTAAAGCTGTAAGAACAAAATCAAAACCGCACCAAAACTCGGCTAAACGGGACTTCCGGCGGTAGGGTGGCGCAGCTCCCGCCGGACTTTCTGGGGAAAGGGCCCGAGAACGCCTTACGGGATATATTGAAGAACCCAGGTACTGGGCCTCTGATGTGCCGGATTCCATTACGTTCCTTCATCATTATTTCTTAACCCTCTAAATATAAAAGCACCACTCATATCGAAATCGCCTACACCGCTCGATGCTAAAAAAAGGCAGACATTATTCACCCTAGAGTTACTATACTTCAATAGGTTAGCGCATCGATTTGAATTTCTAGGAGTCTGAAAGTATTAAATGTATGTGCTCCGATACCAGTATCGTCCCACAATCGCATCTTTGCATCTAACGACTTGTTTTATTGAGAAAAAAGTGTGAAGCTCTCTTCGCAGGTCGAAACATGCTGCCATGACTCCAACTTTCACTTCTGATGTTCCACGCCTGGAGTACTCCCTGCGCACTCGTAAATTGAGAATTGGGATTTTCTGGGGCTTTGTCTTTGTCGATTCTGTAGCACTGCCCGTTCTCTTGTTCTTCATATTATGGTATGGCACCGACTTAAAGCACCAAACTGGTAAGTACCACCCCCAATTTATCTTCCTCATATTTCATGTTAACCGCATTCGTGCAGTGTTCGGCATAATAACAGCTTTAATGGGAGGCACAGTAATATTAGAATATTTTCAACGGTTCTGGCGGCTCTGGAAGAAGAACTCTACATGTCAGGTTCTTGGCGCGAGTAGGTACTCGGTGAGTATGCATTGAAGTCCGTACTTTCTCTACTGCTGTCTCCAACTAATGGAAGAATAGTGTGACTTTTTCCAATGGAACCTAACCTTCATCCTCGCTGCAATCATAGCACTACTTATTGTCGGCACCTTACCTAAAGAGCCTATGGTTCGCCTCTTAGCACTACCGCTGCCTACAGTTCTTGCTCTTTTGGGACTGGAGTTAAGTATATTAGAACTCTGTTACATGTGCCAATGGCGTAGTCCATTCCGAATTTCTTCTGTAACTCGAGGACAGGTCGTGCGCCCATCGATCTACTTCATTATAGAAGATATCATCGCTGTAGATGGAGATGGAGCGACTTCTTTCCGAATCCGTCTCAATGAAAGATATGAGGCAAGCCCCCATTTTAGGCAAATGCTTCACAAGTTGTCACTTTTCTGGGCGCTACCAGCCATACTAGTGGCTTTGGGGACGACATTTCTGGTTTTCTCGCTAAACAGAGACCTTTCCTATGTTGTGAGTACTTACATCTTTTCCGATTCCTGTCCCTGTCTACGCGTACACTTAAACTGAATATTCTTCCATCGCACCCTACGGTCTTTAAGTGTTTCTTGTCGCTAACAACGACGCAAATCATGCAGCTAGGCTGGGTTGTGCCGTTCACATGGGCTGCGATATGGGCAGTTATTACAATCAAATGGGCTCAGCGAGAATTGAGGATAGAGCAGATGCTTTGGGATCAAGACATGGTCCGTTTGCAATACTACCCATAGTACTGTAGAGGCATGACACACACACGCACACTAACCTCCATTAAATAACGTTTTCTACTATCGTTTTCTAGCTTTCTATCTCAAACTCCTTATATTTAACTCTTTTTCTATTATAGAAATAACGTGTTCTACGAGTAGATAAGCTACCCTTCTAATTTAGCTACCTCTATATACTATTACATCTTTATAACAGTATTAAATAATAATAGTTTAATATTAATTCTTAAGTAGAGTATTATATTGTCTATTAGACGCGCTAGTATTCTATCAGTTCTCTAATTCTACTGAGTAACTATACGAGTTAACGTATTTTACTATTGTTCGCCCTACCCTAGTGTGCGCCCTACGAAATGCTAGTACCTTACTATTACGACTAGCTTTAGAATATAGAATATATTTTACTATTATCTTTATTTACTAAGTAATCTATCTAAAGATAGAATAGCTATAGAAAATAATATATACTCTTTATAGTTATTATATTACTAGTAAATAAAAAGTATTTACTAGTAAGTGATACTAGCTACTATACTACTATAAGTTAATATTCTCTTCATTTAAAGTTTTTGAAAAGTTATATATACTAAGCTTTCTTTAATATATAATAAGTAATTACTAATAACGTGTTTTACCACCAAGCACCGCACCCCACCAAGCGCCGCAGTCGCCCTACTAAAATAACGTCGTAATAGGTCTTACGTAATACTAGTATAGTTTTTAGTATTAAGTAGAATAAGATATTATTCTTTAGATATATTGCTATTCTCTATATTCTCTAATTCTACTTAGTAAGTATAAGAGCTATATCTAATTTAGATATAATACTTATAGCGCTATTTACTACGTACTCTCTTTATAGATATTATACTATTATTATACTTATTACTCTTTATCTTAGTAATCTAATTAGCTATCTAGCTAAATATCTAAGATCTTTTTAACTATATATAGCGCTACTTATAAGTTTTTTACTTTATTACTTTACTAGTTATAGCTTTAAAGTAATTAAGTATCTTCTATATTAATACTATATTATAAGTTATCTATTAAGCTCTCTTACTTAACTACTATATTTACTTCTTAAGAGAAGTTATAGAAGACTTTTACTAAATTTATATATAGTTTTAAATCAGTATAACGTAGTTTCCAAGCGAGCTAATTACCTAAGTAAGCTAATCACGCTCTACTAGCGCGTGAACGCCAATCCTATAATACGTAATAGCTTAATAATATACTAGTTAAACTTTCTATACTAAATTAAATCTTTAACTTACTCTTTTTAATATCTAATTATAATATATTTAAAGCTAAAGATATACTACTACTGTTTATAATATATCTTAAAGTACTTTATTTACTTAACATACTAGAAAGCGTCTCTAATATAACTATAATCTAAAATTAAAGTAGCTTAATAAGCTAAAAGAGAAGGTAATAGTTAAGTGTATTCTTAAGAAGTCTATATAAGAATTTACGCTTATAAAGACTAATATTACAAGTAACAAGAAGGATTCTCTCCTTAACAAATGACGAGATAGCTGAAGGCCTATAGATATCCATATTAGAAGGTAATAATTATTATAGAGCGAGGATCACGTGACTTAGCATCTCGCTAAGAGATAATATCTCGCTAAGAGGGTAGATACTATAACACCAGGAGATGCTAGGATATCTTAAATATCTTAAGATACTAGGGTATTTAGGAGATACTATAGATATTAAGACTAGAAGTAATAAGAATATAAAGATAGATAGATTTTATTATTTACTCTTATTATAGTTAACTTAAATTATACTTTCTTACTAGTATCTTTTACTTTATAAGATAG